TATAATGATAGGTTTTTTTTTGTGAGATTAAAACACTTAAATACACCAGTTCGATGTGTTCTTTAAATGATATCCAGTCTTCTAGCAGACGATCCGACGTAAGCTCCCCACAAGCTGAGCAGCAGAATTCATAAATAAAACTGGATACAATTTATAAGCCTGAAGAAATTTTGAACTCTCAGTAAAAGTCTAAACAGAAATTGAAGGTGAACTTGTGGACAGACTCCATTAATTATGGTGTATTGTTTATTCTACAAGATTCGTGAGTGTGATCGAGCCTGTGTATGGTAGAGGGCTTCGGGACGGCGTAGTTCAGTGAGTTGGGTAGATGTAGTTATTTAACGGTTTTATTGATATGGTAGAATCAACAAAATAGTTAAGTTTTAAAACAGATTTTAGTCTCAGTAACTCTCATTGTAAAAATTATATGAAACTGGTGATACGGTGTGCATATAAGACATAAGACATTTCACATGGTTTTCTTTGAAATTAAGTGGAACAAACTGTTAAAAGTGGTTGTATAGTCCGATATCGGTGAGTTTCTGATAATAACTCATATCAAAACGTCTTTGTTTATTGAAAACACGTGTCAAGAAAAGGTAGAGTACAGTACTGTTGGCGTTCACAGGTAAACTTAATGTCAACATAACCAAACCACGTTTTTAGCGTTATAAACCCTCAAACGTATTGCTTAGCTACCGGGGAGAGGCCTTGGATTTAGGTATCCACCCCCCGACCACACACACACACACACACACTCCCTGGATTGGTTTAAAAATATATACCGGTCGTATTAAAAATACTATTGAATTGGTACTGATGAAAGTATTACGAAGACGGTTGAGACCAATTTAATTATTCTGAACGAAACAATTGTATGGTCACTTTTGCCACACCCTACATTTGTTTTGAACCACCTTTTACAACGTTTCTGTGACTGCTAGTGCTACGCCATCATCTCAGATGTTGGAAACTTGTCTATGCTGGATGTCATCTAACGATTGTATTAGTAGTTTTTCTACCACGAAGATGTATATTTAATGATATTGGACTAACGTCATATCTTTTTGAGTAAGAAAGATTTCATTTTAAGTTTAGATTATGGAGTTGTGTTTAATTGTTTAGTAGCGTTGCTATGAAAGAATAGTTTTATGTTAATTATTGATTTTTATTTTTGGTGTATAAAAGTCACAGTATTGTAATTATATTGGTCAGGATTATTTTAAATTAAACTGAAGTATTTATTAATACTATTATGTCGTTACTTTCAGAATATGGGTTGAACTTCAAGTTCAAGGTCTAGTCAAAGCAGGGTCCGTAATAATAATAATATTCACTTTAGTATATTAATGAAGATTCCAAAACGTCCCTAATTGAACAATTATCATTAATTGTTGAGGATACCAATAAGCTAATTCTCTAAGCACTTGTAATTTTTTTAACAATTTTATAGGAATCTAAATAATATTTTCCCCAAGTTTTGTGAACATCTTTCCAAAGACATTTTGAAAGTATAAATACACTGTCACCACTACTAGGATGATTTTGCCCAAATGAAGAAGCAGAAATTAGTTTATTAAATATTTAAAATTCAGGGTTCAATAAATAATTCCAGTATTGTTAGTAATCAGTGACAGATCTAAAATTTTAGGGAAGGGAAAGCATCAAAGAGATAGACTTCGATTGAGGTGTTTAAGATTGTTAAGGGAATTGATAGTGTTGATGCATCATCTTTTTCATACTTATTGGTGAGAATGGTAGGAATAGGGGACACAAATATAAATTTTGGCAGGATAGGAGTAATCTTCAACTAAAACACTTATTTTTCTAACATGGTGTTTGTCCTTTGGAACGAGTCACCTTTGGATGCTGTAGAGGCAGTAAATTTAACTTTAAGTGAGTTTAAGAGAAAGCTTAATAAGTATATGAATGATAAGGGTTGGCTTTGAGGTTTTTTTTTTAATATATATATTACTTTTAGATTAGTTTGGAGGATGGGACAACCTAGATTGACTAATAGGTCTCTTTTTGTCCCTAAATGTTGTATGTTCTGATATGTTAAATATCCAAGAAGGCCCTTGTGTCTTGGGGCAAGATTAAAAGGGAAGATTTCCTACTTCATCAGGGGCTGGTAGCTAGCTTTTTAGCAGTGAAAACAATATATGTGTAATATGTTTTGCATATTTTGTATTAGCATTACATTTGACAGATATAATTGGAAATCAATCTCCAGGCCATGGAAGGGGATGACATGTCCTTGTCTAAGCCAGCCTATGGAAATCAGTTTAGTACAGCAATAGGCACAAGCTTACTGAAGCAATTACACTGTTAAAATTTTCTCAGCTTTGCATATGTGGCTTTAATCAAATAATCAGAACTTCAACTTTGTTACCTGGGTCTAAAACAGAAGTACATCTTCTAGGGGTCTTGCTTATAAATCATTTGACTTTAGTTGAAAAATGACTATAAGACACTAGAATCTAATTCTTAAATTTGTGGAAACAGTCTTGAAAGTGCCATGCAGGTTCATAACAATTTTACGCAAAATATTACTAGTGTAGTATTTACCACATAAATATTAAAGTTAGCCTGATTATAAATTTGAGTTCACTCACTAAATTAATAGTACATTATTATTATTCTACTCAATGAGAGGCCACTTGATCAAATCAATAATTCAAAACAAAATGTAAGTAAATAACATGTAATTCGAAATCCTAAAGTGGACACACCATATACTGTACTGGAATAGTACATTAAGTCAGCTGATGAATTCATTGTGACTGGGGTTTGAAATCACAATACCTTGTCTTCAGTGATTTAACAGGACTCTGTGAATGAGAACAAAAAAGGGTAAGGTGCCATTAAAGTCTTGTGGTATCAACTTGTGGAATGGTTTGTCTGTATGTGCAGTTAGTTTGAGTTATTTTAATATTTTACATAAATAATATGTACCAATAAAGGGCTATGAAGAGTTTCTATTTAAGTTTTGATACTAATGTTTTTGTTGTTCTTGCTGTGGGTGAGAAGTGACCTCAATGATAACTTATGATCAATGATTAATTGATTAATCGATATAATAGATTATATATATGAGCATTGATTACAACAATTAGTGTCATGTAAAATGATTAACTGAAATTATGATGAAATCTATTAATGTCATGAAATAATATAGTAATCAAGATTAGTGTTTGTGATTTTACTATTTTTGATTATTACAACTATTCAAGTCCTGGTTAGTTGAGTGTAGTTAATGAGTCAGTGGTTAACCAGTTTGAAAATTCCATTAATCCCTAGCTCAAGTGGCAAATATTGTACATTTATGCATGTGAAGTAGCCTATATTTGTTATTTTTCTTATTGAAATAGTTTGTGAACATTTTTATCTAGAAACTTTAATATCAGGAACTCATGACTTCATATTGGTGCTGTGATCAACTTGATGCAGTCCCCCAGTTTTATTGAGGAAAAGTTACCAGTTTTTAGTTTCCCATCATCTCTAAATTTTTATTCTGATGATCAGTCATCTCATAAGCAAATTCTCACACTATACAATCCATATGATTTTCCATTGAAGTTTAAAGGTATGTGTATTGTTTTTTTATTTAACTAGAAATCTGAAAGGTTTGCCATTGCTTCGTTTTGCAGATTTTATAAAACAAATATATATATATCATAAATACTATGTTTATCTTACAGCCACATGAACCTACTGTATTTGTATATGTTTCAGTGCAATTATTTTTGCTCATTGTATTTATTGAGTGTCAAATAATTAAAAATATAATAACATTGTTCATGAAAAAAAAAAAGGTTATATTTTTGCATAACTTGTATAATTCATAACAGGCCTGGCATGGCCAGGTGGTTAGGGTGCTTGACTCGCAATCTGAGGGTCGTGAGTTCGATTCCCCATCCCACCAAACACGCTTGCCCTTTCAGCCGTGGGGGCATTATAATGTGACAGTCAATCCCACTATTGGTTGGTAAAAGAGTAGCCCAAGAGTTGATGGTGGGTGGTTATGACTAGCTGTCCTCCCTGTAGTCTTTTGCTGCTAAATTAGTGATGGTTAGTGCAGATAGCCCTCGTGTAGCTTTGCACGAAATTCGAAACAAACAAACAAATAATTCATAACACAATTATACGTACATACGTCACAATGAAATGAATTCTTTAAAAATAGATAATATATCCAAAATTTGATAAAGATTTTGTTTTCCAGTTTCCGTGTTAGCTGGAATGTTTATTTTATAAATCATTGTGATGATTTATATCTAACTGTATTTATTTGTGACTTTAGTGATATATGTATAAAAGCTAGCTTTGTTTAGGAACATTGAGAAGTATATACTTTGAATAGCTTATGCTTTATCCAAGCATGAAAGTACAACTGAATTTTAAAAAATAAATGCTGTCATGATTTTTGTATATGGAAATGTAATCCATTTAAATATTAAGCCTGTTCAGTCATTCTGGCTAAATTGTGAAATGTGATAAAGCTGTTTTTGTGAGAACTTAATTGTAGTGGATAATAAGTCATTTTGTTTTATATTCTCCCAATATTTGTATTTGCAATAATCTCCTAGAGGTGACTGTTTTTCCTATGCAAAGTTAATTTAGTATATATTATTAAGTATGGTAGTACTTAATAGTAGGGATCATGATGAAACAAAACCACCAATTTAAAACTTCCATTAAAATGTCTGAATGGTAACAATGAATATTTCACAGTATTTACTGAGCAAAACTAAAACTTATTGTACTTATAAGGCTGCCAAAATTGCTATGTATGTGTTTATAGAGTAAATCAATATTTCACTATCTCAACGAACTTTCATCTAAGTAAGTAAGTGACTTTTTCAGACAAATGTACAGAAAAAATGATGAACCTTATCATTCTAATTCTTTCATAGACCCTTTCCATCTGAGGTCCTGATGATTCCTTTCTTGTACCAGAAAGGATACTAGTGTGTGTGTGTGTGTGTGTATATATATATATAGAA